CTAACACTCTCCCCATAAGAATTCTACATACCCTAGTTTTTTTACAAACTGCTTTCAACGAATGTAAATCATGCGTTTGCTTTGCAGGTAACGCTGATGGATACAACCGTTCTTGCTCACTACACCATGAGAGCTTTCCGAATACAAGTGGTTGGAGAAATGGAGATGCGCGAGATCCGACATTTGCAGGTAAGGTTTTTCTGAGATTTTTTTCGCAAAGTTGATTTGAATCCGAGCTTCAAGAGGGTCTTGAGTGATTTTTTGTGAGCGTTGCATTAGTGCTAAGCAGACTTGTTAGTCATGTGATGATAAGACTTGTGCTCTTTTTTCTCACTTCCTATTCGGTGGAGATGTCAAGAAATGATGAGGATGATGATATGGTTCAGAAGTAGGGAAATGAGATCATTGCACCATTTTTTTCGTCATGCTTTGCCTAGGACACTTGACACAGCTTGCTCGCATTGTTTACTTACGGACTTTTGCTGGGTATTTAAAATCAGACCTTTTTTAAAGAAATTCACACTTCAATTTCCCTAAATTTTTTGCACTCTACGTCTTCTACTCAGGATATGATTTTCGTTATAATAGACATGGAAATAATAACTTTTAGTCTGGCCACTAACAGGAATGTAGGGGGAAAAATCGCCTTGGTAACCAACTGTGTGATAAAACTAATGCCCCTCACAAGGAACTTAGGTTTACGTTTAGTATGCATGTGGTTTCGGAGTCGATTTGCTGTATACTTTGTATTGCGGAAATAAAACGATAATTTTTGGTTTAGATTTTTGAACATAAAAAAACCAAATTGTAGAAGGCTGTAGAAACCAAATTGCAAAAAATCGTCAAATTCTTCGTTGCTAATTGTTTCGTCAACATAGTTTTCAGAAGAATCAAGAATGAAAGAATTGGATTATTATTGTTTAGTATACGGCCTGGCCTGATCACGGCGTACCTGACCATCCCACTCCTTTCCTAATATTCTTGAAGAGGGTAAAGACTTTGAATCCTCCAGACGCCGGACCGATTATTTCACATTGCAGGTGAATTTTTATTTTTACACCTATTAGTGACTTATCATCCTGCTAACATCGTGCTTTTTCAGTGCGGGTATTGGCAGAACGGGTGCATTCATAGTTGTGGATTGCATGCTTGAGAGGCTTCGCTACGAGAACACGGTCGACATTTTTGGTTGCGTGACATCGCTTCGAAGTCAGCGCTCCTATATGGTCCAGGTATCGCATAGCTGATAGAGGGGACATGAGAACTCACACGCAAGATGTTTTTGCCTTCTAGACTGAGGATCAATACATATTCATCCACGACGCCGTGCTTGACGCTGTCAACAGCGGCTCGACCGAGGTGCCTGCCGTGAAATTAAGGCAACACGTAATGGCACTGCAACAAATGGCACCGATGGAGGGAGCTGCGGGAATGGAGCTGGAATTTAGGGTAAGTAAATTACAACTCGAAGATTTTTTGTGAGATCCTGCGCGGATTAGAACACGATTTGACAGCTGACGCCGTGCACCTACGGTGCCAAAAAGATTTTGACGTGAACAAATTGTCCTGTTAATGCCGACATTTTGCGCTTGTAGGATGGCTATAGTGCACACTTTTGCAAATATCACACCCTGTGATCAGTTGTTCAAGCGCTAATGTTGTTAGGAAAAGTCATTAAAATCGTAAAGTTTTTGCCAAATTTCTGATGAGAGGCTAATAGATTTGACTGCTGATAATAGTGTCCTTGCGGCGTCAACAACATTCCCGCGTAAAGTCTTCGCCATTTATCTAATTTCGACAGTTTGCGCGTATGACTAAGGCGCGCTGATCTCCAAGTGTCACAAACTTAGCTCAGG